AATTGGAATCGGAGAGTCGGAGTGCGATTGCGATTACGATTGCAGGTCCGTAAGCTACGATAAAGTCGCGAGATTAAAAGAAAAAAAAAATGTCAAGTGACACGCAAGTGCGTCAATCACAACCGCAAATTGATATAAAAATTAAGAAAAAAATTATAAAAAAAATGTGGAACGACAAGTAAGAACTGTTAGAGTCAGCGTGACGAAGCTTGAATACGCTTAAACAGCTCTAAACATAGTTAGTTGGACTCCACTATGCTAGATCCTCTGATATGTGAAACTTCTTAGTGATGATATTTTATTATATATACATATGGTATTAGCTAGTTATTCTGATTAAAATTCAGATACATTTATCCAATAAATACATACACAATTTTACAAAAGTCAATGCATGTCTATAACTCATATGAATTACCTTATTCTTAGAAATCATCATCATATTTCTTATATCGAATCTAGATTGGTTTTCTAGTGTAAATTTTAGAAAATTCCTTAAAAATGTGACTATTTTAAATATTTTGGCTTCATAGTTCCTCATTAATCATTTCTCCCTTTCTTGGATGGCTAGCATTCATTACTAATTTGAATACCCTCATCAAGGGTGTTCAGCAAACAAACGTCAAACGGAGCTGGAGCTTGTAGCTTGGAACTTGGAACTTGGCGCTTGAAGCGTGGAGCGTGGAGCTCTCTTCAACTGCGTCAGCGCTCTGCTTCTTTGTCTTTCGGTCTTTGTTTGTTTGGCGATGATGATGGTCAGTGAAGCGAGCAGAATGAGGCACTTTAGCTGCCGAAGCTCTGCCCTGGGGCCAGCCTCCAGTTACTCCCGCAGATCCCGTTGCTGATGATGCTGCTGCTGACGCTGCTGTTGATGATGATCATGACAGAGAAATGTCAGTAATCATCGCCGCGCCCGATACCCCGCTCTCCCCAAAGCCAGCCAGCCAACCCAAGCCTCTCCAAATGAAGCAAATATTACGTTTGACGTCAGCAAACTTGAAGCTTGGGCATTTCTCGCGGACTTGCACAAAGCAAACGCTCATTCGTTCGGCTCGATGATTGTTTGAGAACGGCATTCGAGCAAAAGATCTGAGAGATTTGATAGAGCTCGAATTAATAAAAATGCAGCCCCACAAAGTGCACTCGAATCGCATTTAGCATTCGGGCAGGTCTGGGGAGGCGATCGGAACAATCGGAAGGCGGGCACTCATGAGTGTTATGAATGAATTTGCCTCGCTTTGTGCCATGACAAATATTCCAAACCAATTGGCACTTTGAATACTCATCCAATTAATTGCTTAATCGTTCACTCGAACTCAAGCGTATTTCTGATATTCTGAATTTTGTATTGGTTCGGCCGTTCCACAAGTGGGTTCTCGATTTCAGCTTTTCAGATTAGTCACAGCCCTACATCAGTTGCTTAAACTAACTTTGCGTGTTCCTATGAATGTTCATTCACCTACGTCAGTAAGAAACTGGGCTCGTGAAGCGAAGGTTGCCAACACTAGTTATTTATGAGACTAAGTAACTATCTTTTTTTTCTTTATATTTTATGGAAACCTTTCATTCTTCTTCCTGTATATATTGTAGTTCATTCATTTTATTTCAGACCCACCTAGCTGTTTTAAAGAAGAAGAATTAATCATTCTATAATAGTAATATTTTACTTCACATTTATTCAAACTATGAAATTATAATTTCAATTTATAAATTTTTAAAGTTTAATCATTACATATTTTATTTCCTAGTCCTGAACTTCAAGTATTTGACTTGAAATAATTATTTATAGCGCAGAATTCTTTTTATTTCTATTTATACGATAAAGCGATTTAGAATATATAAAGAAATAAAAATAATTTATGATCCTGGAATTTTTAATTTAAGGACTGTATTTAGTAATATTTTTAGGTAAAATTTAAAATGCAAGTTTGAACTACATTTTCTTTTTATAAGTTGAAGTTTCTTATGAAAATCGTATGAAAATCGACCCCTTAAATATAATATGATATTAACATTTTACCTGAGAAGCTTTTAGACGGTAACTCAATCGTTATTCTTACTATCGTTTGATAGAAAATGAGACACAAATTGTAAGCATTTCCTATTAAAGCAAGACCTCACGAGATTTCGGGCCTTAAGGCACAGATTAGGAATATTTGTGATTGAGTGCTTGCATCTACATATACTCATTTCATATTTGAATAGAGTTTCTTTCATAGAGATTATTATCTAGACACAAATTACTCGACGAGTATTTTTCCATAATACAGCACACAATATGGGAGCTACTAAAGCACTAACCTACTCTTATACATAAATATATGTTTCAGTTAAGTATTTTCCCATATCTAAAGTATATATGATGCGCTTGTTACGTATTAAGGTTACGTTTCCTCAAAGTGCTCTATATTTGCTTTTTTTTTTTTTTTTTTTGTTATTATTTGTTATTCTTAATTGTCAAGCCGCCTTATTATTTGCGTGCCCATTTTTAATTATAAGCGATTTAGACTAGCTTTTACGATTCCATATATAATAGCATTTAGTTTCGGTCACGTGTAGCTGTTAAATTTGTGCTGATTGCATTAGGAATACGCCACGTTGCAGCGCATATGGAAAGTTCAATGCATTCGAGGCGGGTTCTTCGAGTCTGGGGCCCCATACGCGACATTTGCATATGCTATTGGCTACGCATAGCAATTGGGGCCTTCTCCTCCAGCACCTCCCCCGTGTACTGGGAGTTCGGGTGGGGCTGGGACTGACGTATGTGGCTGCCATGTGGAGCATGCAACGATGTCGAAACTCAACTTGGGGTTTGTATGTCACTCAGCATATCTGACGTCTGGCGTCTGACGTCCATTACGGCCCCCTTCGCCAGTTCTCGACTCCGGATCCGCCTCTATGTCCGACTCCGGGTTCCATAAATATGCGCATTTTGCACTCTCCCTTGCGTTGGCCATGAACCGAAGTAGCCTGCAGCAAGAAGGCAAGAAAACAACAACAAAAGAAACAAAGACCTCAAGAAACTGGCGCAGATTTGGGATTGCGCTATTTGCATAATTCCCATACAGCCTCCGTATGAAAGAAGGTTTACGTATGTCCATTAGCAATGCAGATGGCGTAGCCTCAGATGTGTACCAAGTACTCTACTCCCTCTTTAAAAGATCAGTTCAACAATTTGGATAAACAACTTCCAGACAGTTCAATGCCTGAATCTGACCTTAGTTGGCGCCATCTGGACGAGCTTGGGGCTTACGGGTTCTACATATCTTCGATATATCTTATCTAATTGCGACGTAAAGCCAACTACGCATCGCCGATAGTGGCTAAGGTAAACATCATTATACAACTTTTTAAACTATGCGTTATTATCCCGGAATCTGTAATATCAATTTAACTTCACAAATCTGATTATCTTCAGACTTTCTTTCTATCTCGCTCTCTTTTCATATTTTCTCAACATATATTGTTTATTATTTAATATATGAAAATTTGTTGTTTGTTTTTTTTTGTGATAAAAAAATATTATGGTAAATATTTCCTTAAATAAGTTTGCTTGTTATGATTCCGTCTTTTAATTCTCTCAGACTCTGATTTCACGTTTTTTTCCTTCTCCCACTCCTCACTACTTCTTACGCTCTTTCTTTCTCTGTCTCTTACTCTCCCCTTCTCTTTTATTTCCCTCTCCCTATCTCTACCTCTCTTTCATCTTTCTTTATAGTAGCCTGCTCTCTTTATAGCAATCTTCCCAATAAAGTTGTCTAAGGCGTAGTTTTTATATGCAAATTTCTACTCATACGCCCATGTATACATATATCTATATTCATACACATATTTTTCATCAATAATATTGATTAGTATTCTGGTTTATTTCAATTTTAACGAGCCCCACCCTTCGCACATCCATACATATATAGTATAAGAATGTTGGCAGAGGCGTTCGCGTTAGCTTTGATTGCAGATAATCCTCCCTACAGAAATCATAATAAACTAACATTGCGCTGTTGCTCTCCCGACCTCGATTCCTTACGGACTACGTCTGCTATGCCGCCAATTTCTGTTTTTCCCACTTATAAAGCACTCTCTCAATCTAGTTTCTCTCTTCGCAGGCAGAGAGCGCTCAGCGTGATCGAGCAGACGTTTTGCTGCGCCCGCTTGCAGTGTTGCCGAAACTTTTTCAGCAAAAGTAGCAAAACCGAAGGCTGAAAGTAGCTAGAAGTAGCCAACTTTCTTCTAAAATAGCTGAAAAAGTAGCAAAAAAGAAAACAGTGCTGTTTTTTCATAAAAAGTCAACTTTATTAATTTAATTCTGATAATATCTCATCTATGACCACCAGCTCGTCATTTTCACCATTGTCGCTTTTATAATTTGCCTTTTTAAGGTAGTTGGGTGGAACGCTATACTCATAGCAACATTTGCCATATCGGCGTAATCCATATGTTTTGTGGACATACAATCTTAATGAAACTTTCAAAACGTGATCATATGGCTAAAATGTGTGTACATTCCAAAGCACAAGTCTCTAGTACTTGAAATGCGTTTTTTACAAAATGATGGCGTCAATGGGTCAGGGTATAAAAACTGATAAGAAATGAATTTTGCATAGCATATTAGAAAGCTTACCTATTCTTCAGTTATAGAATTAATTCTACACAAAGCTCAGTACATTTAAATCATTTACATTTAAAAAGTATCGAAGCGAATTTTGTTATAAATTCGCTTGCATTTTAGCTAAATTTAATATTTGAAAATAGCCAGATTTGTAGCTAATAGCTGTTTGAAAATTTTTGTAGCAATCGGCCTTAAAAAGTAGCCAGATCTAGCTACAAAATAGCTGATTCGGCAACACTGCCCGCTTGCTCTACTTCAACTTGCTGCGCTCTGAGCGTGGCGCTCTAGTCTTTATTTGCGTTCGATGCCGATGCGTCGAGCGTCGTGAGTCGCGACGTCGTACGTCGCAGTCGATGAGCGAGCGCTGAGCTTTTGTACAAAACTGGCCGTCGTTTGGATAAACCAGTTAGTCGGCCGACAGAGTAGCACGCGTGAACAGCTGGACGACGTTTCGTGTGAGCTGAATATCAATTGAAATTCAAACGGCTTTTTATTTTACAAAATACTTCGCACAGCGGGCGCAAGAGTGAACTCACGCAAAAATAAAATATAATTTAACAGAGCCGAAGCAGAAGCGAAGCCGAAGGCGAAGTGAAGTGCAGTGTGAGAAGCGCAGTAGATAAACGCAAATGCAGTGTGCTAATGTAATAGGGAACACAGCAAAATATATGCAAAAATAACAAATATCAGTTAAATAAAATATGCAAATCTGTTGAGCATTGCGCTGAATAGAGTTACTTAAAGCGGGAGAGACAGAGATCACAAGTTTTGTGCGACGGACAACTACATAGAACTCAAACCAAATGACTATGACTTCTACAGTGCTGCAGCGCCCCACAGCAACAGCAACAACGACGACAGTGGAAAAACAAGCTGCAAAAGCAACAGCAACAACAGCAAGAAGAAGTCGCTCCACCATGGCCTGGTCGCATGAGAAATTGCGTTTCTCATGCATCGACAACATTGGCCTGAAGCAGCTGTGGAAACTGATTGCATTGGATACGGCAACGCCGCCAGCCGAAAAGTCCGGCAATGTGGAGCACCAGCAGCCAAAAGCAACCAGCAACTGCAACAACAACACCAACACTGAGGTAAGTAACCAAAAAGAAAGCTAGCAAGGGAGCAAAACAAAAACAAAAACAAAAATCGAGCAAAAAATTACTGTTGAGCACTAAGAGAGCTTATGACGTCAATTGGGCAGGGGCAATACACGGATGTAGCAACGCAGGCAGAGAAAGTGACCCAAAGACGCAGCAAAACTCACAAGCCACCCCAGCCCACCCTTCGCGCACATGTCACATGAATAAGCCCATTCATTCCGTACAATATCTGGCATTATCTTAAGCACTTGTTGAAACAACTGTTCGGATTTCCTCCCAGCAGCTATGCGGCGTGCAAACAAGCACTGAAATTCCAGTAACCCACGTAACGTCAATTTGCATATGCCAAGAAAAAAAAGCGAAACAAAAAAAAGCCAAGCGCTAATTAAGACAACCAAGATCCGATCTTTCAGTAAGCTACAGTAAACACTCGACAATTAGAGAAGAGGAATTTTTAAAATTCCGTCAACTTATTTGAATTATGTTGTATTTAACGAATGTTGACTGTAGTCTCGTTATGCCACCATGGACTCCTCTCATATAGTCACATGTCTCTTGGCGACAACAAATCAATTCATTTTATTGAAAACAATTGAAAGGCTTTTTTTTTATTCAACGCTGTTTCTATAGTCCCTTTTCAACTCTTTCAATATTTTTCTATATCGCACTTTTTTCATGTATATACATATGTAATATACATATATGTATATTTACTCAATTTGTGAAGTGTTTCAAACATCTTTCATAACAATTTTGACAGCTGTTATTTAATCCACAGCAAACAAATCATTGCAACATACAGAAGTTTTTTTGAAAGCTTCAAATATTTCGCTCAGTGTACACTGCGCACTTGAATAATTTGTACAGAAGATTTAACTGTCAAGTGCAGCAGCCCACGCTGTCAGCAGCTGCTAAATTATTATCAGCTCCAGACTTTATACTTTATAAAAAATGTTATTATTAAAATTTCGTATATACACATTTTTGGCTTCGATCAAGGCTCGTGATAAGTGTTTTTTCTGTCTTCTTTTCAATAGCTTCGAGCTTGCCTCGTTCTCTGCGAAGGCTGTCTGTCTGTCGGGCACAGTAATATATAGAGTAAAGTTCAGGGCGAAACTTTGTATTTCATTTTGTCTTAGACGTCAACGCAATGCCGTAACTTAGGGATTACCCTGCTCCTTTCTTTGATGACGTGTTATTTAGTCACAGCTCGGCTTAGTTTTATTTTTTGGAACTTCATTGTGAGTCATTAGTGAATTATTCATTTGTGCGTCAAAAGAAAATAAATTAATCATAGCGAGTAAAAGCTAAAGTTGCTTTTTATTAGCCCATTAGGTATTAAATTTCTGGCAAATTCATGTTTAAGCTAAGCAGATCTTTGATTTCCAGCTGTTTCCATGCCATTTACCATTTACATATTGCTGTATACATTTTGAATAGCTCACAGCAATTAAGGCGAGATAACTGTTAAATTTCAACAGCCGCTTTCTGGTATATATGATATATTATATATGTGCTGAGAGAGGTTTATTATACTGGTCTGAAGTCGCAGGCCCTGCGCTCCTCTTCTTGGACCTCGTTTCCCATAACGTAGCTACAATGCGTTATGTTTTATAACGCAAAACAGGTTTCATATATATTTTTACTATATATTAAATATATATACATTATCCCTAAGTCCCTCCACGCACGCCCCTCCGTGGCTAGCAATGCATTGACGTCAATGCAAATCAATCGACTTGTGAATTCTGCCTGGCTTTTGCCTATCCTCCCCTCTCCCTCGCTCTATGCAGACACGCCGTCTTCGAGGGCTACGGCATCCCAGTTTATTGAATGTCAGGGTTGTGTTCCACTAATAAGCACAAAAAGGAGGCTATAACTGAATCACCTACACCTAAAGGCGTCCAAAGCCGGATCAATCGAAAGGAAAACTAGTTTTCAGTTCGAAAATTGGAACCTGTTGCCTCTTGCCCGAAGAGTCAAGTGCAAAGCGCTCCTCCCCGCTGTCTAAAATGATAAGTATATGATGAAAAAGAAGACGAAAACGAAATCGAAGTTTTATTGCCAAAAAAATGATCGACTGGCAGATACCCAGTATTGAGCTATGTCACAGTATGCTGAATGATTCTAATTTGGAAATGAATGTTTTTTTTTAAATATTATTTACATACATACATATATGTATCAAGTAGTACAGCTCGATAGAGAAGATATCAATAACAGAGAACTGAATGGTTTGGTTTGCTTGCAACTCTTAAAATTTCTATGCAACCCCATTTCGATTCGGTACAGGGCATATAAATAACTAAAAGTTCAAGCTTAAAGTTTCGATTTGACAAATTCAGGCAGCTTGAATTTGTTTAATTTACAGCTTTGTTGGCTTTGACGTCACGCGCATAAATTTGCTCGTCGAAACGTTTTGTTTTATTTTATTTTAACCTTCTTTCTGTCTGTTTTTGAGTTAACACGTTCGAAAAAACAATAATCTTAAGTAGCCATAAATAAACACTAGTAAATCGGCGGCTTAGTTAAATACCGTCTAAATATAAATGAAAATCCGACGCGTTTTCAAACGCGCTTAAGTCGCGAGTGAGTCGCGTTGCAGTCGAGCGCAACGAAAAACAGCTTGGGAGCAAAATAATTGAAAATGCTGTAATTTTTGTTTACAATTGTGCTTTTCGCTTTTACTATATTGTGCATTATTACGCATTTGTGTGCGAATGTCAGGTCTAATTAACGTTGTGGTGGCTCACTCAATTCATATTATAAATAAATTTTAATTCATCAACCACAAAAGAAAAAAACTGTTATAGAAAAAATATATAATTAATTAAAAATCAGGTGAGTCCTCTTCTATGAAGGCTTGCGCTAATTTGGTGTTCTTAACTAAATTCGAAATTGAAACTAAAATACCGTTAGTGTGTACGTGCAAAAATGCAAAAACTTTAGCGTAGACCCCTGGCACACACAATAAATCACAGCCAATTGCATTTTAGACTACATGTAGTTACGTTTGTTCCAGTTGTCAATGAAAAATATGAAAATAATAATAAAAATATAAAAATAGAACAAAACAGCAGCTGTCTGACGTCCGTCCACATATACGTTGCCATAATTAAATGTTGTCAACTATTACGATCTCTCTCTCTCTCTCTCTAATTACCTCATGCCAGCTCTTTCTGTTGCATGCGGCTCGCTGTTAATATTCATAAAGGTCAGCTCTGTCCGGCAAATGCAATTGTTAGCGCACGCCTCGAGATCGAGGTGCCTCGAATATTCGTTAATCACATGTGATATTAATAGCAAAACAATATTGAAATTTAATTCAAATAAAATATTAGCTTTTGATTGGTTCATTCTTGGATGAGCATGGCTTCATTTGAGTAACTACTCAATGTATTTTATGTACGCCAATGTGGCCGAAATGAGTCTAGTTTCTCATTAATAGATAACTGTAACCCGAACATAATCCAAATACATATCAGATTAAAAAATACTGTTATATTCAATCGCAACTAATAGGTCTTAAGATTTGATATGCGATCGCAGACAACTTCACAAGTTTCAGCTTAACAGCTTTAGCTAACATAATAGATCGAAACTAACGGCTAACTCAGCAGACCCGATTGCAGCCAACTTAACGAACCTGACATTTGTTTGCTTGAAGAGTTCGTGCATTAAATCTATTTGACTTGAATACCAGCTTAATTCAATTAAAAAACAAGTAAGAACGTTGCAGTCGGGCGTTACCGACTGCGGAATACTCATTCACATCCCATCAACAATTTAGTAGTTAAGTTTCGTTCTAATACTGTAGAATATACAGGTTTTTCCGATTTGCCACGCCCCAACTGGGCGTAGACACCTCATTTTTGGTCAGTTTTTAGAAAGAGATAACGTTACCCTAACTGCAAAGTTTGAATGCTTACCCTAAAAAAATGTGAAAATTACAGGGTATTTTTCGATATGCCACGCCCCTAAAGAGGCGTAAAAATTATTTTTGGGGAATCGATAGAGGAGGCTACCAGTAACTCAACTATCCAAATTTGAAGCTTCTAGCTATTATACTTTAGGAGATATAAACTTTTGCGGTTTGCCACGCCCCCTGTGGGCGGACATATATCCGACAAAACTTTTTGGTCTTGGGTGATCAGTCCGAGTATATATACAAAATTTGAGGTCTCTGCCATCAATAGTGTCCAAAATATAGGAGAATTTAAAAAATCACTATATCTTCAGGTCCGATTTGCCACACCCCCAACGGGCGTAGACTTATAATTTATCTTCAGACTTTATAGAATCATACCATTAGCTGACGTGCAAAATTTCAGCATTCTAGGTTTACAACTTTAGGAGATACAGTTTTATCCGATTTGCCACGCCCCCAATGGACGTAGATATATCCGCCATAGCTCGTGATCTTGGGTGGTCAACGCGGACCTACATACCAAGTTTCAGCTTTCTAGCTCTTCAACAAACATGATTTCTGGTATATCGGAAAATGCATTTTCCGATTTGCCACGCCCCTAGTGGGCGGATCGGGAAAATTTTAACACTTTATAAATCGGAGATATACACGAGTATGTGTTCCAAATTTCAAGTCTCTAGCTTCAATAGCGCCGAAATAGATTGCATTCATACGGACAGACGGACAGACGGACAGACGGACGGACGGACAGACGGACAGACGGACAGACGGACGGACAGCAAGACGGACATTGCACAAAACCAATATACTGATTCACTTTCGTGAATGAGTATAAAAATAAACATGTTATTGTTTCAAAGTGGAAATCCCATTTAAATGCTCGCCACATATTTGCGAATAGCGCTTATCAATATTTTTGCACCACTGTGCACATAGAAACCTAGCTATCTAAAGCCCAGCTACAAGCATTATCTTTATAGCAACGTTTAATACCCCCCATGTATATATATTCACATATATTTATGTATATATATTTTCAGTTATATCTTGATGTCAGTTAATGTGCCACAAATGCAAATTTGTTGAACTTACGTGAAAAGTAATATATAACATATATTATATAATACAAATATTAAATATATATATATATAACATATATATTCAAAGACACACTCATGTCAAGGCATTGCCACTAGGCGTGCTTGACTTATGCATTAAAGAGAACAACAGCAAAGACGCATTGCTATCGCAGCAACTGATAAGCGATAAGAGCTGGAACTGACAATAGATAAGATTTGCCCGCGCTCAAAGCCTGGCAGCTGGCTATATAAAGATGCTGTGGATAAACAGTTAGTTAGTTGAATTAATTAAATCATTTCGAGTTGGGACTCGCAATTAGTTATAGCCAAACAGCTTTGAAGCATAGAGCTCAATTTATGGATACGAAACAGCAGCAACGACAGCAGCAACGACAACGACAACAAAAGTAAGAACAACAACAGGTTGGATAAATACATGCGACTTTGCATACTAAGTACTTCATTAGGGGGCACGTTGAAGAGCCACACACATCGATCAAATGGCATGAGCATTGAAATGGGCCCCCAGTTCAGACCGAAAGATCCATAAAGAAAAAACGAGCCGTTTTATAAGCCATATACGAAGCGAAGGCAGCGTAAACAAAATAGAATTTTTTGCACTTTGCTGTTGCATTTTGATTGTATAATTAATCGGGTTTGCTTTTTGTTTTTATTTTTACATTTTTAGATGCTAATGCCTCTGAGTCACAGGCCTTTGCATTCCAATGTCGTTTGATCGATAGAATTAACGGATATGTCAGAATCAAGACAATCATCGATTGCTATTAGAGAATACAATTGCTTATCAGGTATCTTGAACTATAGGGTATGTCGAGCACTGCTGCGTTATCAAATAAATCCAAGAAGCTAGTTTAGATTGATTTAGATTTATTTAGATTGCATAGGGGCCGTCGTTAGCTTTCCGCACGATTCTGATAATTAGTAGTACGAATGGAAATTGATATAGATTCTGAAAACTTTGCTGGGTATCTGCCCGCATAGGCAACTCCATTGAAACGCCCTTGTGTTTTGTTTTGCTTTCATTTGTTTGTTTGCCCTGCGTGCCGAGTTCGCGCAGTGCACTGACGTCAAAATCTATATAGTCGCTACAAGTATGTATATATATGTTTCTATTCTACAGCGCCTAGCCATAGCCTACGATAACTGCGACAGCTTGGCCGACTATTTGAGCCTGCAAAGAGGAGTCGCTCAGGCCCGACTCGTGGAGCCATCGATGCCCACGACACAGCAGCACACGTCGCTGCTCAAGTTCTTGGCCATTGTAAGTACCAGTTCGTTAGGCAGGGGTCTGGGGTGGGGCTACACACGTATGTATATGCGGTGTTATGAACGTTTATGATAATCGCCGATGATAAAAGCAAACACACTTCCTGCTTGCAACCTCAGACAATAAGCGAGCAATTGTTGCCCGCTTCTTTCTGCATTAATTTCGCGTTACGAAAATATAAAAAAAAAGTATTTAAGCCCCATATAGTATAATAAAATGTTTTTTTTTTCTTTGATATATAGAAAAGAAATATGAATGATTGAAACCAGTTTCGCCGAGAAACAAAATCAAAATCAAAATCAAAAACAAAAATCATCTTCAATTTCTTTGGCTCTGTCGCTGGGGCGAGATATCACGACAAGTGTGAAATGAATTTTTACTTTTTCATATTTTGTGTCTTTTTTAATGAGTTTTTGCACCCTTGTGCCACAATTGGGCATATGAACTCCGAAACTCTTTTTGGAATTTGCTAAAATCGATTTCAATCAATTATATGGCTCCATTGTGCCATGCGACTGGCATTCAATGTAATTAATATCCGCAAATTACGTTTACAGAGAAGTGGTAATACGCTCTCTGATTCAATTGGAAATGAGTTGGGCTTTCATTTTCATTCATTTACCATTCCGCGTCACTTGGGTCTTATTCACATCTTTATTTTCTACGAGACTATTCCTGTCTCTCGCAATTTCTCAGTTTTATTTTGGGATTGTTATCGCAAGAGGTTTGGTCTATTATGCCTCGGCACTTAAGATACCAAATTTTAATTGCATGGATAATATAATATTCAAATAAAAACAGAATATGAGCATATTTCTCTCTCTCACTCTCGATTCTTGTATTTCTACTCTATTGCCCTTTACTTCATCTATTTCCTATCAGAACTTTTCTGTTCTATTGATCTTCCTACCCTTTCTATGCCTCTCTTTCTTTCTAATTTTAATTCACTATATGTTTACGCTCACCTTTTTGCTCTATCACCTATTCACCGTTATTCCTTCGCCCAGACTTTTCCACTTAGCTATCTTTCTCTCTCTCTCTCTCTCATCTACTATTATAAACTTGGTTATAGACATATTTAAGGGCGGTTTTCCCATTACTTATTGTTACTAAATACAGTTTCCCATCTCTTTTTATTATTTTTAGAACGCTTTGGAACTGAGCGCCCCTGCCACACCCTTGCTGCTGGAACAGCAACAGACGCAATCCAAACCGCACGGCTGGATGCAGCTCTCCGGTCATCCCGAGAGGTAAGCAACACAACTGAAATGCTCCTCTCATAGCAAAGCCTAACAAATCTCTGTCTTTCTTTCTTCCCCATTTAGCATCGTGCCTACCTCGTCGGGAATTGTGCGCAAGCGGATCGCTGGCATCGAGGACAGCGAGGTGTTGGCCTATCAGCAGATCTCGCAGGAGCCGAAGACCTCACAGATTGTGCCCGCCTACTTTGGATTGCGGGAACTGCAGGGACAGCACTATATCGAGCTGCAGGATCTGCTGGCCGGCTTCAAGGATCCGTGTGTGATGGATATTAAGCTCGGTAGTCGCACCTTTCTCGAATCGGAGGTCAGCAATCAGACGCTGCGTCCGGATTTGTATCAGAAAATGATCGCCGTGGACGCCAGTGCACCGACGCCTGCAGAGCACGAAGCTCAGGCAGTTACTAAGCTGCGCTACATGCTCTTCCGCGAGTCGTTGTCCTCGTCGCACACCAAAGGGTTCCGCATTGAGGCGCTGCGACTTCGTGGACGCGCACCTCTGAAGGATCTCAAGACGTGCCGCAGCAGCGAGCAAATCTCACAGACTATCGAGCAGTTCCTTGCCGCACGCAGATCCGTGCAAAAGGAACTGCTCAAACGGTTGAAGCACATGCGCCTGGTCATCGAACAGTCCGCGTTCTTCAACCGCCATGAAATAATTGGGTCTAGTTTGTTCATCGTCTACGACGACCATCGCATGGGCGCTTGGCTCATTGACTTTGCCAAGTCCCGGCAGCTGCCACCACACCTGTGCGTCAATCATCGCAGTCCCTGGCAGCCAGGCAACCGGGAGGAGGGTCTACTCCATGGCATGGATGAGCTGATCCACGCCTTCGAGGAGGTCTATGCGCGCAGCAGTAGTCATCGCAGCTGCTTGAAAATCTGAGCAATGAGCCCCCAGTTTCAGCGTGCTCCACTTGCTACGCATTTGCCCACAGCCACGCCCACCTACAGGCACATAAGACTGATTTGCATGTCGCCCAGAAAGAGAGGATAAGAAGAGCAGAAGGCCTTCATTGCATGCGACGCATTTTAACTATTTTCCATATTGGAAGCAAACGATAAGCGCCAGATCTATCTATACACCATATTTACATATATGTATACATACTATATAGACTATAGTATGTATAAGAGAGAACGATTAGTATTGAGCACCAAGCAGCATTTTGTTTGATTGAAAAACAGGTTTAACTTGATTAAGTATTTAAGTTTAAGAGAGAAAGAGAGAGTAAAAATGTATCCACTGTAATAAAAAGAAAATCTCATGATAAAATAAGATAAAAGATCAAAAAGAAAATAAAAATTGTCTTTTACTATATATGTATATTATATATATAATATCGATGCTGCTATTGAAATCTTTGGGCTTTTACAATCTTTAATCATTGATTTTCCAGAAGCCATGAAAACAATTGAAATTGGGAAAACAAGTGGATAATAATCATATTGATATTATTTAGATTACCTATACTTATTCTGCTCTAATTCTACTCAATCTGCTCTTTTTTCTTCGAAACAGTTTTCATTTTCCAGTCTCTTTCAATTCGACGGTATCCCTAAACTTGACATTATATGTATAAGTTCTTCATTTTTATAAATAGTTAAATTGAAGGGAGCGTAATCCCGAATGTTTACATATGATCGCAGATCTGACGGATATCTTTATGCTTATATCTCTAATAGCTTCTACTCTTCTACCATTATAAATTTGTAATAATAATAGGAAGCGATCGCTAATAAATTTGCATCTAGCAATTACTTCTTTCACCAATGTGTTATCAATCTCACTTTTTACTGTGGAAATTTAATTAGAGATCAGTCCTTTTCTTTCGGTCAATGCTCTCAGCTAGGTAAAATATGGGATGAACTTTAAAATATTCTATTCAAACCAAATTTGTTATATATACACTTCACAAAATTTTAGCACACTGCGGAACTAAAATTGATTTCCTTGAATATCATTACGAGCACTGAATTATGAACAGTCTGAGTATATTTATCGTTCATTGTTACGTGTTTCAATTCATAAAACAGTATGTTAAGTTGATTTAGAAATTCAATTAAATTTAATTGAATTGCAGCAATAAATCAAATATTGAATTATACAGGGTATGATCATATATTATATTTCAAAATTAGATTCTAAATATTTTACAAATTTGAAAAAGTAGAGGAATTAATAGGCTTACAAAACTAAATTTTATAATAACTTGTTGCTTTTTCGATTGTTGTACAAGTTTATATACTGTTACTGAATGCTCAAGCTGGATGTCTACATCGTGCATATAAAATGATCTGGATCGATGCTGGAGTAAATATGTCCCTCGGAAATCATAAAGTCCAAAATGTTGCTATGGGAGAAAATGAAGACATAAACATAGATTATATGGAATGAGGGAATCAGGTGTTGATACGAGACTCACTTCAGTTCAGTTTGACTTATATGCGAGAACTTGGCTTTGAGTTCACGTCGATTGATGCCTTCCTCGGAGCAGTTGCTCTTGATGGCCTGGAAGACAGCCAGCTGCTTGCTGTCCAGGCCAGCGACAATAGCATTGCTCTGGCTAGCCGACACATTGCTCATGGTCGAATTGCTTGGAGCATGAGATGAATTGCCCTTAACATGATATTCCTCGGCCTTGTAGCGGGAGTGCAAAGCCTCCAGTACGTGAGTGCACACTTCATTGGGATCCAGCACGTTGATCAGCTTAAAGACCATCAAAACCTTTTGACCCGCCTGCGGACGTACTGAGCCATAGATCTTTACATAGTTATTGATCATGACATCGGGTGCTTTGATCGCATCGCCTTCTTCTAACCAGTAGTGTGCATCGATGCGTCCACTGTGGTCCTCCAAGGTGTAGGTAATCTTCGTCGAAGATGTCTCCACATTCCTCACAATGCCCACAACACAGACCAAGGCGTAGGTAACATCGAACATCTTGAAGTTGCCCTCGGGCGAATCGAGTATTTGCTTCACCAGCAAAGAAATGATTCCCTGAACAAAACCAGATTCAGTATATCTGTGTATCTTAAGTTAAACCAAAACATTGAACTCACCTCGCCGGAAGACTCTTTTGTGGCACCCGCTGTGGCCGTTTGTGTGCCATTGAAATCACCAACTAAACAAATAAAGCACATTACAAAGTATTCCAATTACTACGAGCAACAACTTACATGAATCATTCATTTTATTAATTGAGTCTGAAATTTTTTAGAAGACAGAAATTCACTGAGCCACACAAGCAACAAAACGCGCCAAATATTAATGGAAGGCACACACACGTCACGACTGGTTGGACATGCATGCGATAGTAACGATTTGCGGAATAACTAATAAGTACCACTAACCAGAGAACACATAGACCGGACAAGTAGTGTAAAGCGTTTTGCACACTTTTTTTCGGGAGTTATCTCCCAGACACTTCGTATTTGCTCGGCTCTTCACTTTTTGGGTTCGAGCTACGAAAACATACGAAAGCACAATCATTTCACTTCATGCGCTCGACCGAGATGGTCGACTGTTGAACAAAGGATCCCTCTGAGAGCATCGTGAGAGAGAGAGAGCAAGGGAAACATTCAGCGCAGAGGGATCCTTTGTTCAACAGTCGACCATCTCGGTCGAGCGCATGAAGTGAAATGATTGTGCTTTCGTATGTTTTCGTAGCTCGAACCCAAAAAGTGAAGAGCCGAGCAAATACGAAGTGTCTGGGAGATAACTCCCGAAAAAAAGTGTGCAAAACGCTTTACACTACTTGTCCGGTCTATGTGTTCTCTGGTTAGTGTAAGTACCTTACATGGGAAAAAGATCTTTTACATACATACATATATATATGTATTCATTATGATTCAAAACATTTAACCTGCCAGATTCTTAACTTGAGACTATTTGGTTTCTCTAAATACTTTTCACAGGATGTTAAAGTGAGCTATGTAGTTGAATACTTAGAATATCCCCGAATAGATAAAAGACTTTAGAACCTTGAAATTGAATTATTTAACAACTGATAACTTAAGCGAACAATTGTGAAATAAAATATTTATTGTTTAGTATATTGCTTAAGCGATGAATACTAATAGTTACGAGTATTTATTGCTGGGAGCTGCCGACTTTGTCCAAACACTTAAATTATCATCTGTGTTAAGTGTAAAATGTTTTATACATATGTGTGTATTTATGTATGTATATTAAAGGGAAAAGGCAATTTTATAGGTTTTTCAAAATATACAAATTATCCGCTACTAAATGTTCCCGCTCTATCCGCAAGCGGACTGTCATACCTGAGAGTGGTTGTGTCGTGTATCGCGTATGCCAGAGTTGCCTACTCGTTTTAAAGAACACCTGTTTATAAATTCATCAGTTGATAATCAATGCAATTTGGTTTCTGAGTTTGTGCACATAAAATGAACACGCTGCGTCCTTGCGGCTGCAAAGGTGTTCGGACCTGTCTCACTTGTGAGCAGAACTTCAATATCGAAAAACCTTCCGTCCAGCAGCAGTTTCAACAGCTTGAATCCTGGTCCTATTGCACAAAATGCGAAGCCTTTTACCCCGGCTGGGATACGCAGGCAGTGCAGGCAGCCCATTCAGATCACAATTTGACAGACAGCTTGGCACTGCCTGGCATATACGTGCAGGAGCAGTTTCTGTCAGCTGCCGAAGGAAAGCAGCTCATAGTGGATCTGGATAACCTGCCTTGGGATATTTCCCAAAGTGGGCGACGAAAACAGAACTATGGTCCGAAAACCAACTTTAAGAAACGTCGCCTGCAACTGGGCTCCTTTCAGGGATTCCCTGCTGCCACTCGCTATGTACAAATGCGTTTCGAGTCAGTTCCATTGCTGCGCGACTTTCAGACCATCGAGCAATGCTCGCTGGAGTATGAGCCCAGCAAGGGAGCCAGCATAGATCCTCACGTAGACGATTGCTGGATTTGGGGCGAGCGGGTGGTGACAGTCAATTGTCTCGGAGATGCAGTGCTCACCTTAAATCTCTACGATCAGAAGCTGGCTGGCAAATATAATTTGGACTTGGTGCCGGACTACGAAAGTCATCTGCTAGAGCCGCTTTTAACGCAGGAACAGCTGGCTGCCTATAAGGGCAAGGTGCTACGCATTCCCATGAATAAGTGAGTGGCTATATCTGATTATACATAATTGTAAGCTTTACAGATTAGATCTGATTTAGTTGAGCATATAGGCCAACAAATATAGTCGAGTCTCTTTATGGTCATCTCTTTTCATCAGGTAAAGACAAGATTAGGCATTGTTTTGTTCTGTGCAGTCTGCATAAATTATATGTATATTTACAAGTTAAGCTGAGAACTAGACTAGAATATATTAGCAATGTAAATGCAAAATAGAATACCTAATTAATTAGGCTTCCCTGCTTTCTTCTTTTCTTTTTACAGCCTCTCCTTAATCGTGCTTTATGGACCTGCTCGATATCAATTCGAGCACTCGGTCCTGCGAGAGGATGTGACCGAGCGCAGGGTCTGCATTGCCTATCGAGAGTTCACGCCCATGTATATCGATGGCATAGATAAGGATAAAGGTCAGTTGGTAAGAGATAATGTGAACTGGATAATTAAAAGTAATTGAAGTTTAAACCAAAGTCGAGATTTATTTATGGTCATCGATGCCGAGTTCAGTTAGCTTCTCTTGTTGCGCTGGTCGATAGTCGAGCAGGGCAACCTGGGCGGGCAGCTGGACGCCGTGCATACGTTTTAAATGCGCACGCAAATTGCTGCTGGTGCTGAAGCTATTCAAGCAAACAACACATTGGTGGCTATTCGCATGCTTGGCGCGGATGTGGGCATTCAGGTCTTTCACTTTGACAAACGCTGTTGTGCAATATTTGCACACATGCGACCGCCTCACGTGGGTCTTTAGGAACTGCTGCGAGGCATATGCCAATGGACAGTATTTGCACTTGTATATGGCCTGACTGCCACTTGGTTCAATGTCCAGCAGACGGTTGGTCTCATTGTACTCGTCTAGATTGTCATGCTTAAGTTCTACGGCTGCATAATCGAGGGTGCGCAGCTCGTAGCTGGAGGAATGGGAAAACTGATTCGATATGCTGTCGTCCTGTTGCACATCTAACTCAGTAGCGGGCAAAAATTCCGAAACAATCAACGAATCCTCGTTGGCCAAACGCTGAGAGGGACGTCGCTCCAAAAGAATAGGCTGCTCTAACTCTTGCACTGGCCCCTGTTGCTGCAGCTGCTGTTGCTCCAAGTCTAGCTCCTGTTCAAGTTCAAGCTCAAGGTCTTGATCCTGATCTAGCGGATGATGCTCTTCCTCCGTCAGCTGCATATCCTCCTCCATCTCCAGCTCCAATTGCTCTTTTTCCATTTGTGCCTCGTTGTAGAGCTGCCGCAGCTGTCGGTTGGCTATCATCAGTTTGCTAAAGTATGCAAAATGAGCCAAACTCTCCTCGAGGCATGCTCTGCATATCATGGGTAGCTCAGTGGATAGATCTAGTGAGATGTGCTGCAGGTTTGAAAGAATGAGTATGTAAATATAATTTATATATATCTCCTTTAGGACATGTGCAACCTACAAACATAGCCTCCATTATTTCACATATTGTATGCTCCTCATCTTCGGATTCCGTTTCGTTTGTTTGACCCGCTGTTACTACTTTATGCTGGGTTATGTCTACATCCGCATTATCTACAAAGCAAATGCGGCACAATTTGCGTAGATCTATGTTCATATCTTTTACTTTTATATCAACTATTTAAAATTATTGATTCTTGTGGCAATGACAACAATTTTTTTGTCAGGCTGTGTCCGATCAGCTGTTTGACCAGGGCTGCGAAAAACAATACGTGCTGTTAACGCAAAGTGCGTACTGTTAACATCCCTGTTATTCAGTGCTGTTAAATAACTCTGATAAAGTTACAAACAACTTTTATACAGTCTTTAATCTGTTATGGCAAAACCCATTTTTCTCCTCATATTGTATATTTCTTGTAACCATTCTGTGTGCATATTGCCGCTATTGCATCTAGTATATACACTTATGTATATATACTTGAAAACAAAAGAAATGTATAATGCTCACATACTTATGCCATTTCCCGAATAAATATCAACAAAATAAGTTTCTGTTTTCAAAATAAATTTTATTCAGTTTTCTTACTTCTTTTTCTCTTTTTTGTATGTTTTGTCGCAATCATTTCTCTCGATTTGTTTAAAGTTAATTTACTATTTAAATAATTTAATTCCGTTACTGCTTACAATTAATTATTATCGTCAATGTGACGAACGTTATTTGTCTGTCAATAATTCTTATCGACAACAGACTTTTTATTTTGGTTTTACTAATTTATTTAATTTTTTGTTTTATGTTTTTTTCTTTTTTGGCTGTTAATCTTTATTTTTACATGCATAACTTTGGTTTTTCAATTTGCGGTAACGATTTATTATTATAATTATGCAGTTAACTATTTAAATTGAATTTGTAGTTTTTTGTTGCTTGGGATATTATTTCTGTGTTTTTTTTTATTTGGCTTGTTTATTGATAGGCGTTGGGATTTTTTTTAACGGTCTTTGTTTTGGTGAGATTTAGTGCATAACATTTGCAGTGTTAGCCAAGCTTTTTATTTGAAATTTAAATGCTAATTATTAGGTATACATTTTGTTTCAAATGTAGATGTAAACCGATTTTTTGGAACTTTAGTGTTTTTTTTTTTTTTTTTAATTTAAGTTTTTAGATGCATAGACATGCAACAAAATGTGTTTTGTTTGCAATAAAAAAGTAAAACTGAATTATTGAATTTTTTCTAGCTGCATTTTATTTAGAATAAGACGAATGTGTGTGTGTGTTGTGGGTATGTATGTGTGTGTGTGTGGGTGTGCCAACCTTTTTGTTTTTAGGTAGTTGAAGCATTTAGTCAAACTCTCTGATCAGAATTATTAGTAAGAAGACTTTTTGCTTTGTTTTTCTCTTCATATCTTTTTAACTTTTAGCAAATGATAACATTTTGTTCATATTTTGACTTAACTACATTATGCCGTGTGAAATGTGTTTTTGTTATTTATTTTATTAACGTATTACTCTTTGCTGTAATTTTAAATTCGTTTTTTTTTTTTTTTTTTTTCATTAATGTTAGCCCTCTCCTAATGTAGGACGCTTATTTTATAGTTTATTTTAAATCTTTTGTTTCTTTTTTTTTATTAGTTTGTTCTTGTTTTTTCTTTTTTTCGTATTCTTTGTTTGCCTAGTTAATGCTATAGTATTATACATACATGTAGACTTCAATCTTTTAAAGAGTGTAGAAAACGGTTTTTGCTTTTTTAAAATAGCTTCTTTTTATCAAAAAGACATACATATATATAGAGCTATATATATATATAGATAGTAGTTCTAATTATGCGCCTAGTTGCTCGAAGCTAAGCACTAAATTAATTAATTATATATAAAAAAAATTATATACTATTTCCAATTGAATTACATTGCTAATTGCGCGAATCACAAAAAAGGAAAGGGTCTTCGAAACGTCAAATAAGTGGAACTTAATTCTCTTCCATTGTTTCATTGTTCGCTAAACAACCTCAAAGGGACAGAACAGTTAGTCAAAAATTATATTATATCAAACGAAAACAATAAAAACGACTGCCCTCTGGTACATATATATCTTTCAGATCTTAAGTTCAGCTCACACTTCAGAGTGTGCGTGGATGCATGTGGGTGTGTATGTGAATGTGTGGGTATCTTGGATTGATAATAACACTTGCCCCGCCTTGCAGTGGAGAGGCTTGAAATGTTCATGTGTGGGTACACACTATAAAGTGTTAAGGTTTTTGGGATAGGATCGTTTGGGAATTACTATACCTTTTAGAATATAAAGAAATATCAAAAGTCAGATTTGGATGCTTGTGTATAGCAGATAAAAGTAGGCTATAGGTAAAATCATTGAAAAAATCGAAATAAGTAAGCAAATCGGGAATTACTACATTCCTGATAATTTTATCGCAATTGATAATAATCAGGATGGAGCTTTGATGTCGCTCAGTTGATTGCCTTCGACTCTGTGAGAGAACTAACTGTAGCAGTCGGGTGGGTTTAACATAAGCACAGATTGGAGCTGGTTGTATGTGGGATATATAGCGAGTATGTGCGAGTTCATACGGCAGTGTTTACGAGACATATGCTTGAACATGTGTAACAAGGAGGTAGGTTTTTTTTGCTTTAAATATATTTTTCATTGTTTTTGTAGTGTGTAGAAAAGGTTTTTGTTATAGGTGGGTCTTTGAAAAGTTTTACAATCTGGGAGCGTATTTTGTTTATACCGTAAATATCACTGTTTCGCTTGAAAGTTAAAAAAAGTTTTTGGCTAGGGTATGTGGAGAAAAATCAATATAATTACGAAAATTTCCAACAAAATTGTGTTGTAGTTGTTGTTGTAGTTGCAATAGTCATTGGTTGGTTGTGTTTTCTTTGCTTTCAGGGATTTGTTTGCAGTTGTTGCTTTTGTTTTATTAAAAATATATCTGTATACGAGTTATGCGGTGATATATTTGTCATAAAATATATATACACCTGCCTTTATTAATTTATATATATATATTTACTACTCATTTCATTCGTATTGCTAGATTTTGTTTTGTTTGTCTGTTTTGTCTGTGTTTTATTTGACTAATTTTCGTCTTTTGCATTTAATTAATTGGTGACTATAACGTGTGTGTGTGTGTTTTGTATTGTTTTCTTTTAGTTATTAGTTTTAGTATTTTCTCAATTGGCTACAACATTATCAACAATAAATTTTCCAAAAACAGCGTTTGTTCAATGAACATATTCTCAAAGTATTTGTTCTGTTTGAATTTACATATTTATTTCAGTATTTTTGTTGTTGTTTTACTTTTTTTATTTTTGTATGTGTGTTATTTAACTATATCATATTTTATCTTTATGTTTATATATATTCCTTATTATGTGTCAGTTTGTTACTATTTGCGCCCCACCTAAGTGCTATCCTAACCACAGAACTTATAGTATACACGCTCAGTAAAAAACTGTTTTTTAAATGAACGAAAAAGCGTACAAATTGAATTGAACTTAATTAAACTTGTGTTTTTTCTGTCTTTTAAAGGGGAAAAAATACATAATATATTAAATAATCCTAGTAAACTTAAAAAATGTTTTAAAATAATGCCAACATTTTTATAATTAAAATGAAAAATCTATATTACAATCTATAACTTAATTTAAATCAAATTAAAAGATTGCCCAAGGAACGTATAAAGTTTAGCCAAGAAATTATAGCATAGTTTGGTCCACAAGTTGAAAACTATTTCGAACAGATAAATAATTGATGGAAAAAAGGATTCGTAAAGTCCATTTCAGAATATTTAACACTGTTTCCCTTTGTTTATATGTTTTACTCAATTAAGTCCTTGAGAGTGTGTGTGTTTGTGCTTTAAATACATATCTAATGTCTCATAGGAACAATCTCTCTTATATACATACATATAATGTATTCACTTCTCCTTTTGTGTGTGTATATTTGTGTTTGTGTGTGTGTGTGTGTAGGCTTACATACATAATTTATAACAACTCAGCTAATTAACTTATATGTTTTTCACATACACATACACGCCGTGTGTGTGTGCGAGCTTAATTGCAAAATCCTTTTTGTCCTTTTTTCTCCGAAAGTTTTTGTGCTATTACTATGCAAATGTTTTTGTTTCTTTTCTTGTAATTTTAACCTAGACATTTAGCTTCTTCTTCTTCTTCTTATTTTTGTTGTACGGCAGTAATTTTGCTTTGTTTTTTGTTTTTTTTTTGTTTTTATTTATTTTTTTGTTTTGTCGGTTTTCTTCTTCATAAAATATTTCTTCTTTTCCTTTGAATACACAACAATTTCTGTGTGTATGTGTTTGCGTGTGTATTTGTTTTCCCTTTCTCCCGCATTTGTCCTCTTTTCCTTTTCTTACACATTGACTTAAAAATGTAATTAACAATTTTTTTTTTTTTTTTTTTTGGTTTGGTTTTTTTTTTTTTTTTTTAATATTTTCTTTTTTTTTGCGAAGCAGCTTCTCTAGTTGTTTTGAAAATGAACTTAACTAGACATCTACTCATATACTGTAGATGTATATGTCTGTGTGTGTTTGCATGTGTTCGTTTGTGTGTTTGTGTAGCTTAACGTGTCTAAATTGAGCGGCCTTATTGCACGATTATATGTGGAGCTGAGAGCAACACGGTTACCGTCGCAATAATCGTAAAGAGAGTAAAAACAATTAAACAAAATCTGTGAAGTAGAAGAAAGGTAAGAAGATTAAGTGAGGTTACACAAAGAACATACAAAAATCATGTAGTATAATTATGTAGGCATGAATGTATATCCACAATACATACACACTTCCACATGTACATAACTTTCCCCATCTACGAAATAGCCGCCACAGCCACGCTTGTATATTAAAGCCACGTGTTGAGATTGTGTGTGCCTAAGTGTGTTGGCATGTGTGCGTATGTGCATATATATGCTTCGTATATGCTAGAGCAAATAACCGGAAGTTGTGTGGCCATGTGGCTGTTGCCTTAATTGTTTGATTTAGTAGAGCGTCAGGGAGTTCTTACTAACCGCACTGTTTGCAATCATTGTGTTAGTTATTCACCAGATTTAAGCCAGTCTGTATATTCAACTGGTCAGTGAGGTCAGTTCGCATATGCCTAATCACACATTTTCACAAGGTCGTGCGTGAATATCAATGTGAATGAATAATCGACTATCTAGTTGAACTAACAAACTAATTTGATTTTGATTGAAGTTAATTGATGGAGATGAGCTCCTATTTACACATTCACATTGGAGACAACCGATAATTTTTCGATAACATACCTATCCACAACCATTGCAGCGAACTTCCAATCGCTTATCAATTCCGCTTCGTCGTCAGCTTTGCGCATGCGCGCGGTTATAAATTGCAATTCTTTAAGAATTAAGTGTAAATCTTTGTGATTGCAGCCTATTGCAGTGTGATGCTCCTCCACCGTTGTGGGTCGGCCGAAGCTACTGCATTAGCGATAACAAGAAAATCGATAAATATGCGATAAGTGTAACGAGCGAGTAGCGATACTTACGCCGATGAACCGATAGCGGTTTGTGAGCCTGATATTGTATGACGGAAATCGTCATCGATGTCGAGGACATTGGCGAGTAACGATTTGGAAGAACGTTCCTTTAATTCCAGTTCTTTCATCCGATTGCTTAATAGTATTGATTTGCGCGTGATCTTGCGACCAGGCCGGCCCATACGCAATATCCAGGGCAGCCATTGTAGGAAAACGGATTTGATCTGACAGACGAAAAAATCGTTTTGCACTTCTTGCAAGTTTTCTACACGTCTGTATATGTGACTTACCCACGGGGGCATCTCGTGTATATCCGCTGTACGATGATGATAGTTAAGCACCACAACCGTTAGCACCACAGACGATGCAACCATGAACATGATGCAGTTGAAATATGTGCCTAAATATCATATACACCAACATCAAAACAAGAACAAAAAATAAAGAAAAAATTGTATATACAATATTAGTATTATTCGAACCATGGGCCTGCAAAAAATTATTGCGCAACACTAAAAACAGAAGCTTGAAAAATAATAATTTACAAAAAACAGCATTTACATTACGTTAGTTAGATTCGTAATATCATGATAAATAATACGAGAGTATTTACAATTTGAGTGTGTGTCAAGCAAATGCTGTGATTTTCTTCGGAGCATGCACTTGAGGCTACGACTCTACGACCATACAACAGATTACAGGGTATCTCGCATGCAGAGGGACTATTATTATTAGAGCTTTACAAATGGCATTACATGCAGCTTTGTTTAGTTAAACGGTTCAATCGTCTCGGTTCAAGCAAATTTTGACAAAAAAATCAGGAAAGTAGTCAAAATATAGTAATAATTGTAATATGTCAAAAATGTAATTGAATTTAATTTACGTTTAGTAAAAACTCTGAGAATTTAGCTCCTCTAATTCATTTGAAAACCACAACAAAAAAAAAAAAAAAAACATTATTATATTTATTACTTTTATTATGAAAAAGATTTTCGAGTTCGAATTCGTTGTTTTTCAATGTGGATTTTATTGTTATTGATTAGATTTGATTCCAATTCTATATATACAAATGACAAAAATGATTTCATTTTGAGAAACAAAACTTTCATTTATTATTGTATAAATATATACATAGTTGGAGTTTGTAATCGCCAGTGTAACGGTATATTGCGCGTGATTAATAAAAGTGAATTAATTAATTAATTAATTTATATACTTGGTAATTTTATATGAATTTTTTTTTTATTATTTATTTATTTGAGTGCAAATAAATGAAGAATTTGTTTTCTGTAATACAAATATAATAATAAATTTGTAGTATTGAAAATATTTGTTTTGTTTTTGACTACTTGACTGAATTTTTTATATTTTATGAATTTTCCAAATTAACAGTCTAATAAGAAAAGTCATGCTTTAATAAAAGAGGAGCAAAATATGTAAAATGTGAGTTTTGTGAGGGTTCAATTGCTCTGGCAAACAAAATTTGTTATCTTTTAGTTAAATGTTTTCATTAGTTTATCATTGGTCTTGTTTATGGTATGCTTTCTGTTTGATATATTTAATATATGGTTTAGAATTGCAATAATTAATATGACGTCTTACGGTTAACAACAATTTCTCAGTCTATTTAGTCAGCTTTTGATACTTGGATGTGAGGAATTTTTTAAATATGTTTCGATATAAATATGTCGGTTTTTTGTGTATATAGTACATCGTTTTTGTAAATAAAATATTACTTAAAGCATAGCTTTCATACGTGTTTTGTATGATATTAGATTGTTGTTTTTTTGACAAGCAACTAAAGCAAAGCACCCACAGTAGCGACTTTTCTGATTGATTTCTATATTTTTCGATGTCAGTTTTGAATACCCTTGCTGTGCACGCATTGTATATGCTAATCAGATCTCGTAGAAGAGAGTTCTAAAGTCGCAGCGTCTATAAAATGATGACAATCTCATTGGCAATTAACATTAATTTATTAAGATTGCATATCTTTATACCGAAAGAGTAGGGGATACATTTCATTACCCCTATGTGTATATCTTGTTAATAACCTATTTTATGAATTATAGGTACGATTTTTAAATTAGAATTGAATCAATGTTAATAGGTAGATCTATCTATCTTTCATGTTATATCTAACATTTGGTATTAGGAAAGATTTAGTTATGTATACATATTATACATAATTTTTAGAGGATATTCTATAGCGGAATTTGAATGGTATGAATATACTTATTGTTTCTGCTGGATATTTTTAAAAGCAGTAGATATTTATTTCATTCATGTTTTGTCAATATGAAATGCAACTAAACTAAAGTGACGTACACTTTAATTTATGTCAGTTATTATTAACAAGGGTATTATAAATTCGGTAAGCCGAACTGAAGTTGAAGTTTTTTTAAATTTATTATTTGTGTTTTCACGCGTTATTATCGATTATAATAAAAAAAAAAAGATTCAGCCAAATTCTAAAGAAGCACTTGAGTTTTTTTTTCTAGGGGAGGGTAAATTTAGTTGGGTTTGGCTACGACAGCGTTAAAGAGTATATTGCTGATCCTCTCGAGTTGTACTTCATGCTCTCTTTAACATCTGAATTGGTTCTTGTAAACCTACTTTAAATGTGCTGAGGCACTTATTATTATTTTTTGTACAAAATATATACAAACTTTTAAATTTTAATTTTTTTTTTTTTTTAAATTTTAATCAGCGGGTTTTTTAGACTTGGAACTTTTTTTTCGTTTGCTACATTAGTTTTAAGCTAAGAGAAAATAGAGTTTTGATTTTATTTTTAATTTGCTGTTTTTTTTTCTGTTTTTAAATAAAGTATAACAATCAAAATTAATAAAGAATGTATTTGTACCAGTACCTAGCAGTGGTACGGCTTCGCTCGTCTTTGTTATGACATTGCCAACCAATAAAGAGAAAACTGTTTGCGACAGCAGAATGGTAACACCTGCAAATATTTTTTGTTTTGTTTTTATACTCGTTCACTAAGTGAATTTTGTGTTCGCGCCAAGTCCTCCGCTTTTTCCTAGAGGAGAGTTTATCGTTCGTGATATTTATTGTGTACAACAGATATCACCATTTGCCGTTCAAGTCGCTTACTGGGAGAAATTACGCCAGTATTTCAACGTTTGCAAATACACATTTTGCTCTTCTACTGTTCTACTGTTTGCGCCGTGAACGAGTATTATGCAGCCGGCTGCTACCGATAGCTAGTTCTTAGAGTTTTTCAAAAATATAACTACAGTTTAGAGATTGAATTTCAGTCTTAAGATTTGTTGGCTTATATGTTAGTCAAAGGCTACCAGCCAAATAGCAATGTAGTGTCAAAAAGAAGCAACTGATTTTTGATAAGATATAAAGAGTTGAGAGGATATGTAAAGTTATGTAGGCATGGAGTCTATAAATAGATCAGCTAACATATATAATTAGCTCTTTGAAATAGATTGAAAAAAAAAAAAAAAAAACGTAAAACTAGTTTTGGTTCGGATTTTTTTAAATGAAAACTAACATTCAATTGCCGAAAGTGCCTGGAAATATTGATTATGTTTTTTTTTTTTTTTTCAAGATTCACTTAAATTGATTAAATAAAGTATATGTTTTAGTTATTTATTTATTTATTTTTTTTTTGTTTTCTTTTCTAAAATTGCAACAATCGACAGGATCTTTGCTTAATCCTGAAAATAAATTGTTATTATTATATTAAATAAATTAAATACTTTACAAATACTATTATATTAGATTTAATAGTGCTTTAAGATTTTTTTAAATAATTTTTTCGATCTATTTACAGCTCCTAGAAATAAAGCAAGATTCTATATACAATAGGCGAATTGTTAAATGATATTTTTTGGCTGAACCTTTTTTCGTTTGTCACAAGAAATAAATGTTAAGTCTGTGAGTGCATATGCTAGGCTTGATATATGTAGTAGCATATATCTATAAAAATGATTATTTTAGGTTAGGATTTTTTATTTACTTTTCTCTTTTGTTTCTAGTTTTTTTTTTAATAATACGTTTTTTATGACAGTGCAATTAAATTAATGAAAAAGGAACAGCAAGCGAATGCAAGGTACAAATTTTTGACCCATTTGCACAAGCCAGACTAAGCTCTCAATACAATTTCTTTTTTATGCGAAATGATATTTTTTTTTTTCTTTTAATTTTAATTTTTTTTTTTTCTTTTACCATTTATTTAAATTATTGAACTGTTCAAAAAGGTTCTCGAGCAAAAAATATCATTCCAAGAAATGGGTCAAAAAAGTGACAGTAAGAAGAAGCTCAAATGGTACAAAAAGCGTATATAGCGAAAAAGGAAATAAGGTCGGGTGTGGAAACTAACTAATTGCATTGGTTAATTTTTTGTGTTTTGGAGTGGTATTTTTGATGCAGTGGGCGATAATAGAGGTTGGTTTCTGATTGGGACCAGTTTTCGTTTTGGAATAGTGAGGCGTTCGGAAAAGTGGGGTGTACATATATATAGTTTATGTATGTATATATTTATATATATTTATTTATAAATATATACATATATCATATGGTGATGCTTTACAAGGAAAGCACAATCAAACAAACGTGAGTGGGCGTGGGTGTGTGAGAGCAATATGTGAGAGCGAGAGAACTCAAATATGAATTAATTACAAATCAAAGCTTATTGCAACTGTAAAAATAATACTTTAAAGAATAAAATATCTGTCTTTCTTTCATCTTCATCGATAGTTGACCTATTTTTGTTCTTCTTTAATATGTATGACGGCGATAATATGCATTAAAAAATTATCGGCATTTTTAAAAAAAGTATTTCAAATATTTTCACAATATTTCACAAGTATTTTCCCAAATGCACTTGTATTGAAATCTGTCTCATAAGTATCTTTTGTAATATCATTCGAATAGAGTTTATATAATTGCGAAGTGGAAATTTAATGAAAGATTTTATATTGGTTTTCTGAATAATTACAAAACAAAGTTATTGTATTTTTGAGATGTGCTTCTTTTTGAACGCAATAGAACCTTTTTGAATGGGTTTCATATAGAGCTGAAGGGTAGAGATAAACTTTTGCAAATAGCTTTAGAGATGTGGGAGTAGAATATGAGATTCTATTGTTTTCTTAAAAGAAAATATTAACCATAATTCAGTTGAGTATATTATAAATATTATTTGTAAATAGTTTTCAAATAGTTCTTGTTTTATAAAATAAATGCTAAGAGTAGAATATTTGGAAGATTTAGTGAATTAGATATATATAGTTCGAAAAAGGGGACGACCAAATACTAATTGGAGTTCAGGTTAAAAATATGGAAAATATTTGTATAAATAGAATGTATTTAAAAGTACTCTTAAGTAGTATTTCCATGTTCTATTGCTAGATCAAAAAGTGGAAACAACACCAAATTTGATTCAGAATAAAATTGAGTATACATATTTATATTGAAGTGAATAGGAAATATTGGCGCAGCTTTGACGACTATTCATATGTGCTGGATAATAGCCATTATAAAATAGAATACATATATTTGTTTTGGATAATATAGTACAAGCCATGTACCAATGGCAAAGAAAATTTTAAAGAGGAAGTTCAGTTGGGAACTTATAGATTAGAAATGATTTGGTAAGTAGATAACGATAGCATTTAAAAAGTTCTTCTTCGTTTTGACGTAGTTCAATTTAAGGATTTTCTGGATATCGTTTTTTAATGTTTTTATAATGTATTTTTTGGGGAATTCTGTGCGGCAGCACTTTTCTTTGGCATGAGTACCGAAAAAATCTTTATTTGACTTTTTTAAGCTGGATTAAAAAAGCAAACGAAAAATATTGAAGAGCGAGAGAGAGAGACGGAGTGGAATTTGTTTTGTAAAAGAGAGACAGCAACATAATAGTATGAGCAAATAAGAAACGACGTCATTATATATATATGTATATATATATAGATAAATATATATAAATATATATCAGAGAGAGTATTTAAAGTTCAGTTCTTAGAACAAGATAGAGACAGAGAGATAGAGAGATAGTTAGTTAGTTAGTTGAGTTGGTTTAGTTTAATTAATAATTTAAAACTTGTTGTAATTAGTAAACATAGTACGAAGTACACAAATAACATTTAACAACTTTTGACACTTTGTTGACTTTGGTTTTTTGTTAGACTAATACTTTATTTAAGTTAAGATTTGGTTATGGTTTTTTTGTTTTTGGTTTTTAATTAAGGATTATATATATGCGAACAATTTAGCAATGTGTGTGAGTAATCATAATAGATATATATATATAACAACAATAACAATAATATTTATGAATATATATAGATATATATATATATTATATGTACGTATATATAAATCATATATTAAGTAATTTGTTAATTAATGTTTTGTTTTTGTTTTTTGACAAATTTGAATATATATTTGCATTTTTTATGATTTTTGTTTTAAATGCAATCGCTACCTAACAAGGGGATTGCATCAGATACTTGGGGCAATGTCTCAGCTACAAGGTTGAGAAACACTGTGAGCGATAGAAGAATTGTAACTCCTGAAACAAAAGAATTTCGTTTGATATAAAATACAATTGAAATCATGAGGCACAAAATCATAAAATATATTGATAAGTATGTGTGTATGAAACTTAAAAATCGACCGAAAAACAATAGAATCAGACTTATTTCGAGGGCATTTTCAGAAGTTTTTGTTGTTGTAATTGTTGTAGTTGTTGTTGTTGTCGCTGTTGCTGTTTGTTGTTATAGTTGTTGTTGTTGTTGTTGTTGTAGCTATTGTTGTTGCAGTTAATAGTTGTGTTTAAGTTGTTGGCTGGGAGAAATAGAGAGCTTGAGCGATATATTGAGACTTTCGTTCGTTGATGTTCCGCTGAGCCGCTGCACTTTGTTTTAGTATTTTTTGTTCTGGTATTTTCTTAAGCGTGGCTGGCTACAATGCTTTTTAGTAAGTTACTTTTAGTTTGCTTGATTTGAGATAAATTTGATTTATCAAGTTCTCAATGAAGTGTGATTTTCATGTGGATGAGTATATGCGTTGTATATGCTTCACAAACTCAAAGTTCAGGGGGAGGCGAATCGAGAGCATGGGTAGGCAGGGTCTGGAGGGCTGGCTGACAACTTAAGCGTTAAGGTGGGAATATGTACTTGTCTGGGGTTTACACACACAATTCATAAATAAAGTCAAACAGTAGGATTAAACTCTATCAAAGTTGAGCGAGAATCGTGCCAAAGTTTGCAAAAAAGCAAAATCGACTTGACTTTGTTTCTTCTATATATTGAGGCATAGACCAATGTCTCTAATGATTTTAGAAGACTATGTTTGAAATATTCCAGTCTTTCAACATATTTTTCTAAAATTTTTAGACTAAATAGATATATTTTCTGCTTTACTGCTAATCTATCTAATTGAAAATCAGCTTTGCTTTCCGCTAGCACATTCCAGGTCAACAATTCTATTTTCGGTAAGAACTCTTAGCTCCCTAATTTAACTGGGAGCCAGCTACAGATTTTGACACAAATTTTTGCAACGCGCTGCGAAAATGAATTTTATGTTCTTTTATTTTGGTAGTTTGCTCAACTTTTCAAAAGCTTAATGGTGGTATAAGGTGCACATCCTTCCAACATTTGCCCATTATTGGGCGTCAAGTGGGGTGTCCGAGGGGCGGTTGAAAAGTTAACGGCAAGTTTTAGCTGTTACTTAAATGAGTAAAATTTCTAAATTGAACTGAAGCTTGTCGCTCGAACTATGCCTTGTCGCTGGCAATGAGCTTAGCGGTACGTGTCGCCAATTTGCCACGCCCACACACCAGCATGCAGCGTGCGCCTCATTTAATTTGGAACGTGCAGTCCCGGCTAAATGTCCGACCAATGGCCGCTAGAAACAAAAACGAAGACTGAAGAAATTTGCGCACTGCATGCAAATTATGTTTGGCTCAACGCGGGCTCCTCGTTGGAAGGGTTAAATATATACATATACATATATATATATATTAGACAATGCTATATATATAGATATATATATATATATATATATATATTTGTTAAATATATATGGCATAATATGGAACGCGCCTGATGAGCGATACGATATTATGTGGAGTTGCAAGTCTACCATCTGGTCAAATGGATCTGCGCTTTGAATATTTTAGAGTTTTTCGGTTTAAGTGGAGTTTGTTTAGCGTTTGAGGGAGGAAGGGGTTATTACTGTCGGGAATTTACAGGTGCGTAAGTCGGGACAATTTTAAGATCATATACATAGCGTATATATATAATTAGTTTTTGATTAGATTGTAAATAGTTTTACTTTAATTTGGTTTTCGGGCGGGTAATTTGTGTTCTTTGCTTATGGTGCAAGTACGAAGAGTTCTTGCCAAAACGAAATAGTTTGCGAGAAAAAGAGAGAGCGAGATAGGGAGAAAGAGGGAGAGAGAGCGAGAGAGAGAGATGCATAGAGAGAGAGGGAGAGAGCAAGAGTGTGACTGAGTTATTGAGAGTTCAGTGGGACAGGAAGCGGAAGCGGGAGCGGGAGCGGGAGAGTGAGTGAGAGAGAAAGAGTGAGAGTTTTAATGAATGGGTGTTTCGTTTGATGGTTGGCTAAGAGTTGGTTGAGCTACGCTTAAAGATTTTCTTAGCCTGGTTTGCATGCCTGTTATTGATAGTCGCATAGAGTTCTGCAGCTGTTGCTATTGTTTTGTTGTACTTACGTCGGTTCAGGTGTGTGTCTGTGGTTACGTGTCTGTGTGTCTGTAATATTTACAGTGGTGTGTATTTGTTGGGCAATTGGTCTATCGCCCGGCTTAAAATTAGTTGAAAATAATACTCTCATATCGTATACCTACCGAAATATAACTACAAAGCATACAAATTTCTTGTGTGTGTGTTTCGCTTAGCCTATTTGATATATATACACATAATGTATGTTTTATCAGAGATTTATATATATTTAAATATATATAGAGATATGGAGTTTGCCTAAATGTATTCCTCTCTACTTGACCAAGTATCAAAATGACATTTCATGTCTTCTCCAATACAAACCTTGATCAATATATAAATATTTATATTGCTTGTTTTTAATAATTGATTGGCTTTGTGGCTGTTGTTGTTGGTATTGTTGTTCAATGCATACGAAATCATAAATATATGTATGTATATGTTTATGTATATGTATATGTATATGTATGTGTATATACACATATATTGATAGATATATCTATAGTTCTTTACATATTTTCAGGCTAAATGAATAGCTGGGCTGCGTTTCATCATAGATTTTTGTTTGTCTTTGTTTGTTGCAGATTTCAATGCTCTTTAATGGACTATCACAGTTGAGACTAGTAAAATAGACACAGTATAAATAGTGAAACCCAAAAGTTCAACGGTATTGAAATTTTTTTTATTTATTTTGTATTATTGTTTTTGAAAATGAATAACTGTTGTCCTCTTTTAATAACCTTGACTCTTGATAGTATATAAAATGGAGATCTCCTGAAATTTGCTTTAGTTTCGGATCAATGTTCATTCATGTTTTATCTGACTGTTTGTTTGGCTAGTTTTTTGCCATTTTGTTGGCTTCGTTGAAAAAAGGTTGGTAGCGAAAAAAGGTTGTTCGTTGGATTTGTTCACATATTTGTCTAAGTTTTTTATGTACAGTTTAGCACTATATTTAGTATACATTTAACGAGTATATAGCGTCTACTGCTGCTAATTTGTTAGATGGTTTGATTTGATCAGGCAATTAGCTATGATCTGCCCAATATGATATTTTAAAATATGATCCACTACTCATAAAGAGAAGCTTATATACATAATGAACGTATTAGCTTTGCTTTAATATATTTTTGTTATTAGTTTTGCTTTATTTTTAACAATCTTTAACAGGCTAACATAATATAGAAATTAACTGAAGAGTTGTACAAAATGATATATTATATATGAAATCAAGGATTTATATTCAGCTAGCGGCAAACACGAAGAGAAAAACAAACGTACCGACAGAAACAACACAAAACGAAGAAAACGGGTTCAACATACGCATTTTCTTTTGTTTTTGATCAAACAGCAAAATGGAAATGGTGAAACGTAAAAACTTATCATTGTGATTTGATAGTGACATTAATGTGATTCGTTTTAAGTGATTCGTGTTTGGTGATTTGTGTTGCGTGATTCGTGTTATGTGAGTCGTGTTACGTGAGTCGTGTTACGTGATTCGTGAGCAGTGTTTGGGCTATGTTTCAGTGTTGTGAAATACCAATTATGTCAGAGCTCTTGACGCGCGATATATGTATGTCTTAAACTACTTTTTAGATCAGCTGAGCAAATGGTTGTGAAATGACGTAATCAAAATAGTTAATATTAAGTTTAAAGTTTACAATTAAGATAATTAAAATATATTTCTTGTAAGAGATCTCAGCTAAAGATAGACATAACGAGGGAAAGTGAGAGCGAGAGAGAGAGAGAGAGAGAAATTGAAGAAAACTTGCTTCAGCTGCCTTATTCTTATTTACTTTACGGTTACAGACAGTTAGAGAGACAGACGGGTTTTTGTATTTTGAGGTGTATTTTCGGATATCTCGATATTTCGATATTTGATATTTTATGTGATATTTGATGTTAGGTGTGCTGCTTGTGGTTTGTTTTCTGTTATTTCTTTTGGAGGTTATTGCAAAGGTTTATCCAAAAGTTCCAGTAAAAAGAGAAGTTTTAGCTGGCTGAAACTGAGTTAAAAGTCCAGAAGTGGGGAGTTTTATCTATTAGCAAACACAAACGTACAGAATTAAGATGTAGATATATATAGAGCAGTTATCATTCGCCATACGATTCAGTGTGTATGTGTGTGTATGTGATCTAAATAATTGGTATTTTTTGATGCATATTTCTGAATTGTTATTGTAGTTTTGTTTTTGTTCTTGTTTTGTCTTGTTGTTTTCATTGCACTACAGTAGTTAATCTAATGACAACTAAAAATAGCATTTGGGCCGGATATGTAAGTTTTTTGTTATCTTTTTTTTCTATTTAAATAAATTGTTAAATAAATAGCGTGTTTGTGTACCTATAAGAGGAACAGCATCCGACGTTGTCGGCATTGACTCGGCAACAAGGTTTAGAAATACTGTTAATGAGAGTAGTATAGTTACGCCTGGAACAAGAGATACAATAAATACCATATATCAAAATTAAAAATTATAAACTAAATGACGGAACAAATGGTAAAGACAAAAAGTAAGAAATAGTATTTAAAAATATATATTTATATATTTAAAATATTAATAGGAAAAATTTTATATATTTGATTTTTTTTCTTGGTTGTTGGTTTTATAGAGGTCTTTGCTTTAAGGGAGTTTCACAACATTATTTGTTGTAGATCTACAGTCATTTGGTTTAGCAAGTCGAGAGTGTTGCCTATTGGATCGTGAGCAACACCCCTAGTTTAATTTATTTTATTTGTTTTTTTTTTTTTAGTATACTTCACTTTAGAAATACTAGAAAAAGTAAAACATGCATTTTTAGTCAAGACTAACTTTAAAAGCAGCGTTCATAATATATGTATTTTGGTTGGGTTTTTACGAGCTTTATATTGGGTATTATTATATATGCATAAAGTTTAAATCCAGCTAATCCTCATTTCGCTACCGCTGCTTTACCTGGCCAAAAATTATATTTATACATGATTATATATATATTAATATATATATTGGATAGGCCCTAACTATATGTTCATAAAATATTTGATTTGTACCACTTTGAATAAAATGCACACACGCTGAAAAAACTTGCAAAATATTTGTATACATATATTTTACCATGATTAAGCTCATTATTGGGCTCAGATTTGGGGGGCAGATAGTGTTGTAAAGTTCGGTGTTTTTCAATTTCTGATTCGGTCTCGGATATACTTACCCAGCGTTAGTTTCTCGCCCGAATCCGGTGGCAATGTGAAGCCCAGCAGAGCCATCGATGATATTAGCACGCATGGTACAATTAAATTGAAAAAATAATATAATGTACGTCGGCGTATTTGTATAGTAAAGGTGATATCGACATAGGGTTCTGGGCAGCACTGGTAGACTATCGTGTTCTTCTTTCCGGGCATGGCTGGACGATAAAATTTACGATTAGTTTTTGGTAAAGACTGAGTTGAATGAAACACTGAGACACAAATACACATATGTACACGAATAATTCCATATTTGTCTTAGTCTATATAAATATACATACTATTTACAAACGAAAAATTTTATTGTTTTTTTTTTTTTTTTTTTTTTATTTCATTTATTAAAATTTAAGTAGCAGCAACTGAAAATGTTTCTAATAAGCAATTTTGAGAAAGCGCCAGGCGAAAAATGTCTACTTAATATCGTAAATATATATATATATATATTTATGTACAAAATTATATCGTAAATTAAAAGGATATTTAAGTGATTGGGTTTTGGGTTAATGATTTGATTTTGTTTTAGACATTTACACATGACAACGTTTAGAAAACAGTTAGTGAAAAAAGCATTAGGATTTAGATGATTTTTACTAACCAAGCAAGTACCACTCGCCATTTGTTATGAAATCGGAAAGATCCCCTCCATCTTCGGAATTCAAAACCAAATCCAACTGATATTTTTCAAAAAATTTTTTTGACATATTTTTTGTTGACAAATGAATTTTTTGTTGTATTCAAGTTATTTTTTTGAGATTTTTTGGTTGGGTATTGTTTTGAGTTTTTTTTTTTTTCGTTATTTTTAGTTGTTTGGAGAAAAAGAAATTTAACATTTTTAGTATATTTTTGAGAATTTTGCTTAAAGCCACGTTGAAACAACATTTATGTACAGAGAGAGCATGTGTTCAAGGTGTACGAGCGAGAGAGAGATACAGCGAGCAAAAGAGAGAGAGCTTTACTTTTTATACATACATTTTTTAATGGTATTTATTCTTTATTTTGCTATTGCGTTTTTAGTGCAAAAAAACGTGGAAATAAAATTAAATTGTACTGAAATCCTTGTTAATTGTTTGACTTCCATTAAGAGTCTTTACGTACGTCCAAAACTGTTCGAATTAAATTGTTTGGGCGTGGTTTTTGGTCTGCTAACATGCAAAATAGTTGAAACTGAAATTTTTCAGTATTTTTGAAACAGGGGCGAAAAATTTCGAGGGTCTCACACATGATTCCGCTTTTATTATGACGGTATTGTAAACGTACACTGTTATACTGTAATCCTGCATTTCCCCGGGGATTTTTTTGTTTTTTTTTTTTCTTAAGTGCTCGGCAAAAATGTTCAATTTTTGATTGAACATTTTAGCCAACACGTTGAGAAGTTTTTGTTTTCGGGTGCCCAAGCACATTTGATTTTTTGGTTTTGTAATTCGCAAAAACGCAAAGAACTGTTCGACGTGACGATTCAAAAAGAGAGAAAGGTATTGATTTATAAAATAAACGGGAAGATAGTTTGATATAAAAAGAGAGAGCGATAGAGAGAGAGACAGAGATAGAGTCTTGGAAAAGCATAAACAAAAGCAGCGTCTGCCAAAGGACTCTTTCGGTTTCCTTTTCCAGCAACGACGTAGAACCTGAGCCTAAATACTCTACATAGTCAATAACTCCTTCTGTCTGCCTATATCTGCCTACGTTCTGTCTATATCCGACTTTCTTGCTGTGCACGTGCACGTGTTCCTTTTTAATTGTGCGTGTATTAGTGTAAGTGTATGTGAGTAAGTGTGTGTGTGTGTGTGTGTGTTAGCAAAAAGCGTGATTGTGAAGTAGTGTTGTGATGTTTTGGTATTAAAGCGGTGCTCTACAGCCAGAGTTCACTGTAACAGGCACTCTACTGTTGAGCTCTTTGAGTGTGTGCTGTAGCTGTACTGTAACTGTGTACTAAACACTTTACCTGATTTCCATCGTAAGTCCAACTACCGAATTTCATTTCGCAATGTTGGTCATCAAATGGGAACCACGTGATGTCTATCTTGCATGTGCTCTTGAAGATACCAGGGGGCACGTACAGACAACTGCCGTTATGTTTGACCACAATGTTGGTGTGATACGTGCCATCGAATCCCTCATCCGCGCTAAATTATTGTACAATATTGTTTATGTATTATTCGATTTTTTTTCTTCCATTTTTTTTTTTTGTATGTTTTGATTGATTGATATTGTATTTTTTTGAATTTATATTTATTATTTTTACTATTTTATGTGGAGCTTGTTATACTTTTCTTCTATTATTTATATGGGTTTTCTCTTGTTTCATATAATTTGCGCATTTTTTCGTTGTTTTTTTTTTCAGCTAATTTATATAAAAAAAAACATTTTGGGATATGTGCTCCAATAGAGCTCAGGGAAGTAGTGGGAAATAGTTGTGTGTTGTGTAGCTTGGATAGCAGAACTTGGGATTTTCTAAGCTAGGTTTAATTTCAAAGTGGATGTAGTGTTTGGTCCTACCCTAAATTTATCAGATATAGGCTACTTAATATAATTGCTAATTTAGATTCCTTAATAATAATAATATTCGCTAGTACATATAGCTATAATTACTTAAATATATATGTATTTAATGTTGATTCATTTTTGTTTGCAGTCTAATGTAAATGTTGAATAAACTGCATTCAACTTATATACATAGCTTGACTTTACAATCCTAATGAGCTGAGCTTTATATTAGATATATATGTGTGTGTGTAATGTGCTAATTGATTGATTGATGGATTGCTGTATCAGTAATGCGGGTTGTGGCACTTCAAATTTGTAGTCATTAGTTATTGTCTTTTGTTTATATAGCCAAGTGTGGAAACTGAAATTGACTTGAAACTCTTTCCTCATAAAACAAAATTCGCTGTGTCTCTGCTAAACAAATAACTAAGTTTGGCTTCATTTCTATTTGCACGCTTTGAATCGAAACTTACAAAATAATTGCATTCATTGGAGAATCTATGCAAATGAAATTGCCAATGAAAATGAATGAAAAGTAGTTTATGCCGTGCAGAATCGGATTATATTAACTATCACTTATGCATACCTATATACGAGTTTGCTGTGCACATATTTCATTTAGATTCCAAGTGTTCCAAGTGGCATTTGCATTGTCAGCACATTCTGGATGAGCAAACGAAATCTGTTAGATACAATAACAGTATCTGACTATATATGAAGCATATGCAAATCACAAGAAATACAATTTCAGCTATGAGCAAGTGTGTGTGTGTGTGTATGTGTGAGTGTGTGTGGAGTAGTCTAAGCCAGTCACAAGTGGCCTACAAGCGTATAATATTGTATATATATAACATTGTATATATAGATATGAGAGTTTTCGCTTCTTGCATTGCAATAAAATGCAATTATTTTTATTTTACTTTTTTGATAGAGGGGCGGACTTTTAAGAGGGCTGGAAACTGTTGCGCAAACATTTTGTACGCAATTTGCATAGATATTTTGAGTTACGAGCTGTTTGCTGTCATTTTGCGTACTTTTTGTGGTCAACGTGACTTTTTAGTGTCTGTGTGTATGTGTGTGTGTGTGTGTGTGTGTGTGTGTGAGAGAGAGAGAGAGAGATAGTCCTCCCATTACACAAGCACACACACCTTAATTCATGGCTGGATTGCAATTTTGCGGTTAAAGTGTGCATTTAATTGGCAGCGCACAGCAAGCAGCGCGAGAACGACGAGCAAGCACCTGCGTTCACGTTGTTGGGGCATGTCACTTGGGGGCGTGGCCAGCCCAGGCTTACATGCTATTGTTATGGCATTTAAATGGTATTTGTGCCCCGATTAGCGCCAGCTGTAACCCTCGCCGAGGCACACACCCGTTGCCACATAAACCAGCTGCCGCTGCGCAGCCAGGCTTGAGAGATTGTGGCCGACGCACCTGGCTGGCGTACGAATAAGCCAATGCCCAAAGCAGCAACAACAACATCAGCAGCTACAACAAGCAGCAGTAATTTGGCTAATTGGAGTTGCAACAATTGCGGCAGACACCGAATTGTTGACTGCTATACCTGAAACACAGCAAATTCTCATCGATATTCAAGTTATTCGATGTGAAAACGAGAAAACGATCTCTTACAATGCTAGCCACACACTGTAGTCAATTTGTATGCCTCTTGTGCTTGTGGAAAATCTCAAATGTGTCCCATAATAAAATTGTATCTCTAACAGTTAGTTTAATATTGATTGTAAGTAAGCTGGCTTCAATCTGGGAGCTGGAGTATGTCCTAGGTCAACTGGTTTTATTCAAACTGCAAGAGGGTATAAAGTGCAGTCTTATATTTTTCTATAATAATCTAATTTTGTTTTTAAATTGCAATGCTTAAAGTAATTAGCGGCCAGGTTAGCCCTGTAAAATTTATTGAATAATCTGATCAAAGCTTCGAGTTCCATAAATATATGATGAAAAAAAAATTTTGTTTGGATTTACCGAAATTATTTCATTTGGTAAAAATATCATAAATTGATATTAAGTTCATCGACTCGATTAAATCGACTAAATTATTAGTTTATTGAGACATTAATGCAAATTTAAGAGTTCTGTTAGCTCCAATCCATTTTTTCCATTGTCCAAAATTTGTTATTATGGTAAATCCATTATGGAATGAAAATGCAACTTAAAACTATAATGAAACCATGTACGAATCTAAATTTAAATGCATAGCTTGAAATCGATAAGTTTTGATAGGTGTTTTGGCTTGAATAATTGTGTATGATTAAAATTGCTGCTGACATTTTATATATAAGTCCGAAATATTATGAAATTTCTTAAATATGAGCAATTTTGAGCAATCTTGATTTAGTCAACTTCTATCTATCATATCCTACATAGTCCTAATTACTACTGTGTGATTGTTCCATATTTCAATTACGTCGTAGATTTTAATATTTGCAAGTAAAAGATTTTGGCAGGGTTTCGGATTAGCTGCGGCGGCTTCTGGGTTGGCCTTGGCGTTGAAACAAATAAATAAAATAATTTCCAGGGCATTATTAAAATTGATGTTGGTCCGCTTTAGACTGGACCAGAGGAGATACTGATAGAAAGAGAGAGAGAGAGAGAGACAGAGTGAGTGAGTGAGAGGTGCGGGAGGAGAGAAGGAAATGTTTTACGCCTCAGTTGGCTAAGCCACAACCGCTGTCAATCACATTTGGGGCGAAGGCCGCATTTTTACCAAAACTTTTCTCGGTTTGAACCCATTGAAAATGGGAAATCAGGGTATAATGGTTTTGTTGAAATGTATGTAACAGGCAGAAGGAGGCGTGGCAGACCCCAGTATATATATTCTTGATCAGGGCGACGAGCTGAGTCGATTTTGCCCTGTCCGTCAGTCTGTCCGTCCGTTCGTCCGTCCGTCCGTCCGTCCGTCCGTATGTTTGAAGATATAAGAGCTAGAGAAATCAATTTTTTTCAAAATGTCCGTATACACAGCGCGGATATCGAGTTTATCACCAAAAATCAATAACTCATCCCGTTATTTTGTTATCGATAGAAAACCTTATAAAGTTATAAAATTATATCTCCTACATCTTTAAAGATAGAGTCTCCAAATTTTAAATGTATACTTATATGCATTTTATACAATTTCGTTCTTTTTTTTTTAATTTACTCCCACCCCTATAGCCATTCCCTCACCACTAAGTTTGTAAAAGGCGTATTTCAAATACTAGAGACTTGTGCTTTGGCAAATACATGTATATCCTTGTTATGATCATAATCTAAAAATTTCATGAAGATCGTATGTCCACAAAAGTTATGTGTGTGTGTGTTTTTTTATGTGTGGGTGTGTATGCGTGTGTGTGTTTGTGCATGTGTGCGTGTGTGTGTGTTTCTTGTGTAAGCAGAAAGACGCGAAAAATGATTGATATAGGTATTGCTCGAAGGGTTCAGGGGATCTCGTAGTCGAGCAGTCTCGACTAGAGCTTTCTTACTTGTTTATTTACTTATAAACTTGCACATGCTTTGTAATCTGTTTACGGCATTTGCTGAGATAACATTGCAATTAATGAAAAAGCTTTTCCCTGCGAAAATCTGTCCGCTTATGAACTAATTGAAGGGTATTACGCATCACTTATAAAGTGTGTAATATGTAAGGGGTATATTGTAAAGAGGGAATGCGATTTGGCTCACATAAGGACGGCATACATATGGGTACCAATTGTTAAGGGAATAGTATCTAAAGTCATACTGGAAATTTGATATTGCTTTGGTATTATACAAAATCCCATTGAGTGAAGTCGATTTGAAAGCATAAAAGTGAGCAGTATTTACACACTGGGATGAACTGATATAATTTAGAAAATAGGCTTAAGTAGATTATATTAGTGTCAAAATTGGAGGTGTCTTTTTTTATATACATCTCAATTGTATTTTGAATATATCTCTTGTTAAATATTTATTTCGGTAGCCAAAATATGTTGTTCATATATGTATCTCTTCAGCGTGTGTAGAAATCCATTTAAAGAGGATAAAATAAATATACCATAGCATTACTGGATGATGATGTCGTACCTATACATCAACGGCAGCTATGCTAGACTCTTTTATTTTGTTGCGAACAAGCTTTAGGCATGTCAAAGTCATTTATCGTTAGTCAAATGAAAGCGTATCTAAAGTTTCATTAGATGGATCCCTCTGCCGGCTGGCTTAGAGTCCAGCTGTGTATAAAAAGTATCTCAATTAAACATCTAGCAAATTGAGATTCGTACGACGCACATTGGAATCAGCATAAATAAAATTACAAAAATTCCAAGCTGCGCCAGATTGATGTGCAGAGAAAGGAAACCCTCGCAGGCCAGAAGAAAAATATGTGTATTCCAGTAAACATATACATACATATATACTAATATATGTATGTACACAAATGAAACTGTATCTATATAAGCCTTGTTCGTCTTGCTATTGATCTAAATGATGGCCGCACATTAGCAGCGCTGCCGACGCATACAAATTAGGCCTGCTTCGGTTCTGGTCATGGCCAAGTCGCAAAGAGAGCTGACTTAATAAATTAAACCAAATAAATGTCAATCGGAGCGTGTTCCCAAGCACACTTTCGCCCACGATGCGCAAGATTATGATTTTGTAGGGCTAA